TCTTGTCCTTCTCTTCTTTTTCTTTGTAGTATATTTTACATGAAGCTATATACCAGGAAATAATTGCTATGAAATTATAGAGTTGATGAAAAAGTTTGTTTCTCAAATTTTAAGTATTAAAATATAAAAATGTCATCCATGATTCACCTAAAAACATTGCATATTTCTCCACACCCAGGGAAATGCAGCTTATGTTGTTTGACTCATCCATGTTCCTTTTTCGCCAGGCCCCCAGTTGATTAATGCCATGCCTGAGGTGTGCTTGAGCCAGAAATGAGGGTCATATCCCACGGCCAAGGAGCAGAGGGGGTTCTCACTAAACATCCTCCTAGACTTACCAGGTCCTTGCTTTTCCGAGCCTTTCCCTTCTGGACTCTGAGCAGCTGAGCCAAGGGTCTATAAGTATCCCCCTGCCCTGCCCCTTTCGCATCCAAGAACTTGATGCTATTGTTTGATTTTGAAAAAGGTCTTGCCTAGAGGCCTTGTCTTGGGTAATTCCATCAGATCAACTCTACAAAGGATTTTCATGGCCCTCTGTGAGAGGGAGGTACAGCCATGCAACTCCAGGTCAGACCAGTGGGTATTTTTTTCTTGCACTGGGTAATTGCTACTGGATCAGTGCTTTGCTGCACATGATGCACAAAAATATGTGCTGTGCCCATCCTCTGATCATACTTGTGGGAGGTTTTATGTTCCTGGCCTTCCCAATTGGCTGGGCCAGCTGCTGCAGACACTGTTAATGAGATGCTGAAGGATTTGGCTGGATGCATAGTTTTCGAGTTCAACAGGACACAACCTCATGCTCAAGGAAGCTGGGGGAAAAGAGGCCATGTGAGCCGGCAGCTCTGCTTATCTCAAAGCCCAGCAAAGTTTTGGAAGAGGAAATGGTGCAAAGACTAAATATCAGTTCAGCACTTCCTTCAGTAGTCTTTGTGATGAAGGCTCTGAGAGCAGGTTGGCAGATGGGTGTTGATCAAGAGCCTTTTGAGTACAGAGCTGTCTGCTAGACATAGGCTGAGGGTGGCCAGGGGGCTGGCAAAAGACATAAGATGTGTCTCTGCCTTCAAGGAGCCCACCATTGGGAATTAACTGAGAAGATGCTACCAAATCAGGCCTTCTGACCTGCAGATTGAAATTGGGCCAAATTCCTTTAGGATTCCCTCAAGGTGGAAGATGCCAAGTTGTTCTTGCTTGGCCTAGGCACGTGGGCTTGGATAGGAATCTGTAGATTTGGCTTCTGGTCTTGGCTGTGCCACTGTGGGTTGCTTGCTTTATGGTAGGTGTTGGAGATACAGGCCCTTCCCATGCGGGTGACAGGCTAGGTCTCCATTAACAGGCAGGATGGGGAGTAGTGTCCCAGGCAGTGGGTACAGCATGTGCAAAGTCCCTGAGGTAGATGAGAACTTGGTCAAGCACCAGAAAAATGACCATGTGGCTAGAATCAGAGGGTGACAAGGTGATGACAGGGCAAGGAGAAACTGGAGAGTGAGCACTGAGGGGCCTATGAAGTGTCTATGAACTACAGGAAGACAATATAGGAAACCTTTGGAAGTTTTTAAGCAGGGGAGTGACATGATACAATGTGTACTTTTAAAGACCTCACTTTGGCTGTTGGGTGGAGAATACAATTGACCCTTGAACAGGGCAGGTGTTAGGGGTGCTGACCCCCTGCACTGCCAAAAATCCATAACTTCTGACTCCACCAAAACTGAACTACTAATAGCCTGTTGTTGATCAGAAGCCTTACCGATCACATAAAGTCAATTAACACAGATTTGCATGTCATGTATACTAAATACTATATCCTTACAATAAAGTAAGCTAAAGAAAAGAAATTTTTTTCAAATTGTCACAAATTTCCCTCCAATTTTCCAATATATTTATTGAAAAAAATCTGTGTACAAGTGGATCCATGCAGTACAAATCCATGTTGTTCAAGGGTCAACTGTACATTATAAAGAATCAAAAGTAGGATGGGATTATTCGGTCATAAAAAAGGAATGAAGTTTTTATACATGTTACAATGTAGCTGAACCTCAACAACACTAGGCTAAGTGAAAGAGGCCAGATAGGAAAACAGTGTCTGATTCCACTTACATGAAACGTCCAGAATAGGCAAATCCATGGGGACAGAAAGCAGATGGATGGTTGCAAGGGGCTGGAGGACGGGGAACCTAAAGAAACTGACTAATGGGCTCAGGGTTTCCTTTTGGGGTGAGGGAAGTGTTTTGGGCCTGGATAGAGGCTTTGATGGCTGCACAACATTGTGAATGGACTTAATGTCCCTGAATTGTTCACTTTCAAGTGGTTAATTTTATATTATGTGAATTTCACTTCAATATTTAAAAAAAGCAAAGAAGTGGGATTGGGAGTCTGATTAAGAGGCAGCAGCAGCTCAGGTGAGGGAGGAACAGGAAGGTGGCTTGGACCAGACCTGTGGGGCTGGAGATGGGGGCTGATGAGCCTATCTGAAGAGGTCAAAATTCTCAGGATCCCTGAGTCCTGATAGCCCATGCAAATTAGGCATCAGGAAGGTTGGAAGAATTTTCCTAGTTTCCAGTGCTGGACGGATCCTTCACTCTACCTGGTAAAACAAGTGCCTTTTTCCTAAGCACAGATTATGGCCCCAGGGCTGGGTGTCTTCCCCACATAGATGGGCAGCTTCAGCTTAGCCTGGCCCTGGGCTTCCATCGGCACATGTTGGGGTGCTCCAACTCGCCCGTCCATACAGAAGAAGCATGGCCCATCCTGGGCTCATACGGCCCCAAAGGAGGGAGCCGCCCTTGCCAATGTTTTATGCCACCTCATTTTGCGGCTTTCCCCAGAATTGGCCCCATTTATGTAATAGATACCTAATATCCTGCAAAGATCATGGAAAAGATGTTCTTTTTAATTGCATCTGCAGGATATACTGCAAAATATCCACTAACTCTGTACATAGTCACAGTCATCAGACACAGTCATTTGTCTGTTTCCCTATCCAGTTTGCCTTGGTAGTGAGGGCAGATGGTGGAGGCGGATCCCACATTCTGTCCATGAAGGCTTCCTTGGTGGGTAGGAAGAGATAAAGGATTTCCTTCCACTTATTCTGAACAAATAGACATTCATCCTCCCACTTTCTCTTCCTCCTGTCCTTGCTTCCTCCCTTCCTTCTGTCCATCTTTCTGTCCTGTCATCCTTTCTTCCTTCATTATATCCATCCATCCATCTACCATCCTTCCATCCATCATTCTCTCATCCGTCCACCTATCCATCCATCCATCCATCCATCCAACTACCATTTATTTATATATATTCCTTCTCTGCTCCATCTGTGGCCATGAGCTGGTAAAGCAAATTCACTCTGTAGTCATTGAGCTACAGTTAAACTTGCGTTGGGTTAGACTTGGTTCTCTGTGCAAGGGATCTGGAATCTGGTCTCATCACTTGGTGGCCCAGTGCCTCAAGGCTCCCATCAGTGTTTTGGAAATTTCAGTGTCTGTTGCCAGAGGGCCTAGGGTAATGGTGGGTTCAGAGAGTTGCTGGATGTTTCAGGTGAAAAACACAGGTAGGTTGGCTTCAATTTTGGCAGGTTAATTCTGTGCTACGCAGACACCCAGTTTAAGCTGGTCATAGTGACATTAGTAACAGGTAACCTGAGCCTGCATTCTGTGCTGGGCCCTGTGCCAAGTGCGTTATTTCAAAGAATTGTCATGACATCCTTCTTAGGTAGGTGCTGTTATTTCCCCCAGTGTCCAGCTGAGCTCCTTGATCCCAAAGCCTGGGAGTCTAACTCCTGAATTCCACTGCCCTGATAAGCAGTGCCCTGCCACACCCTCCTTGCTTCCCTCTTTTCTCCAAACATGGGCAGGGGGGGCCAGCCCTGTGCTGCTGTACCCGGAAGCCCCTTCCTGAGCCTTGCTGCAGCCCCCTGGGGAGATAATGAGCAGCCGGGCTCTGCAAGGGGGTGGCTCTTCAGGCACACTTGGATTCCTTAAAGCTGATGAGCAGCAGGCCTCCTGGAGAGGGTGACTTTTAGGCTGCTTGTGTGGGAGGCCTGCAGTCCTAAATTAACACACCTTCCTGCTCCATCCAGAATGTGAAAATTTGCAAGGAGGGTTTGCTTTGGCCACAAGAGGGCGCCCAGTTCCCGGCCAGACCTGAATGGGGCTTTAGGGGAAGATGGGGAGGAGGCAGAGAGGGAGCTTTGGAGACCTTTGAAAACGGGTCTCCTAAGCTCCTTGGGAAGGGGAGAAATGTTCCAAAACCAGCTCAAGAGGTTCCTTCTGTTCATCTGGTGCTGAGTTAGGGGCTGAGAGATCCAACATCGAAAACCACAGGATTCCTACCCTCAAGGAATTAGAATGCAGTGTGATAAGTACCCATCTTAATCCAGATTGGTCATTTAATAAGCATTTAATGAGTACCTACTGGGTACCAGGCTCCTTGCTGGTTGCCGAGGACAGAGACATGAACAATAAAGAGTCATTGCCCTCAAAGACCTAATCCACTTGGGAGACAAAAACTAAACACGTTTGAAAGAATAGGAAAGTGTAGCCACAGAGATTTACACAGAATATTTTAGGAGAATTTGGAACTGGTAACCCAGGGGAGGAGGGAAAGGGGTGTTATCAGGGAAGGCTTCCTGGAGGAGGGCACACCAGCAACAAGTCATAAAAGACAAATGAAGATTAACCAGGGAGGGGAAGGGAGAGTGTTCTAGGTGGTGTGGACAGCATAAGAAAAGGGACAGAGGTTAGAAACAGCCCAGTGTGTGACTAGAGCTTGGTGAGGGGGATGCAGAGGGCCCCAAGGCCAGGTCCAGAGGGGGAGTGGATATTGGGAGCCATGTATCTCCCCAGGGGCCTGCGGCAAGGCCCAGGAGGGTGCTTCCTGGCATAGCAGCCCGCAGCTGGCTCTCCCTGCCCGCGTTTGGAGAAAAGAGGGAATGGGTCCCCCTGCTTTCAGTTTGGGGCAACATGGATACATTTGCCTCTCCTCTTTTTCTGTCTCCATTTCAGAGCCAAGAAGAAAAGCAAACCCTTGAACCTTAAGATCCACAGCAGCGTGGGCAGCTGTGAGAACATTCCTGCACAGCAGCGCTCTCCGCTCCTCTCCGAGCGCTCCCTCCGCTCCTTCTTTGTGGGACAAGCGCCTTTCCTGCCCTCCACTCCCCCCGTCCACTCCGAGGCCAACTTCTCTGCAAGTAAGTTGGCTGCCGGCTGCACCTGCTGTCCCTCTGCCAGGTGCAGGTGCTCTTTTCTCCGCTCCTGAAAACACCAGGGAAGGGCTCTCTGAATGCGGCTCATCTTTAGGCTCTCCTCCCACCCGCGCCACTCACGCCCCTTGGATGAATTTGTAGGGAAGGGGGTGTAATTGGCGCCCCCGAGGCTGACTGGCAGTTGTCGCTGGTCCCAAGTTCTAACTCTTTGCCTGCAGGTGTGTAGGGATGACTGAGGGGAGCAAGCCTGAAGGGCATTCGAGGCAACAGCAACCTGTTCCGTCCTCTGCTTCTCAGCTGCCTGGCCACGGAATTCTTAGCCGCTGTGGATGAGGCATCTATGATTAAATTCTGTAATCCCCCGCCCCGCCCCCCCAGGTCAAGGCATGTAACCTTTACTTTACATCTCAAAGATGTATTTGGGTTCACACTGGGTTGAGTATGGCCTGGGGTGGTTTACATTCCGTTCTCACGAATTTCTGCCCGAGACAAGGTGGTTATTTCTCAGAGCGCAAATGGAACTTTCCGGTGATCAAGGGCTGAGGTCGCAGAAAGCCTTTAATCCTCTCTGCCCAAAGGCCTGTTTTGCTGAATAGGCGCAGAAGTGGTCAGAGCGCAGACCCTGGGAAAAGTTCAACCAGACATCCAGCCAGGGCAAGTTCTGTTGACTGGGAATTTGGGGGGGAGAAGGGGCTGCTGGATTATGGAAGAAATGACCCCTGGCCTTTAATACACCCACAGGGTGTCCGTGTTGCTGCTCTGATGAGTAAGTAATGTTTACTGAGTACTAGTACTGCTAATCACCCACATGCATGGACTCATTTTTACAACAATCCGTTGTGCAGATAGATTATTCCCAATGTGTAGATGAGGAAATAGGCTCAGAGAGGTCAAAAAGCTTGGCAAAGTCACATAGCTCTCAAGTAGTTGAGTCAGGATTTGAATCTGAATATTTCTAACTCTAGAGTATAGGGACTCAACTATCACCCATGGTTTGATAACCAAGACCCCTCAAATATCCAGCAGGATGCCTTTCTCTAAATGTGGGGTTCTATTCTTTACCTTTATATAAGGACTTTTAAACTTTTTTCGGGGGCCATGGACCCTTTGAGAATTTCATGAAATCTATTAGTTCTTCCCCTGGAAAATTGCACCTGCAACACTCAACACGTGTGCCCAGGGCCAAGACTGTTCAGAAGCTCTGCCTTAGCCCAGCTGGACAGTTGGCCTGGGCCGAGCCATGAACTCAATGCACAGTCCACGAATGTGTATCATGCATCCACTGCAGGAACCAGCTGAAGGTCTGGAACCAGAAGAGACCCTTGAGGGCATCAGATAGGAGAAGTTCCAGAGGCCGGCTTGGGTCAGTGCCAAGGGGGCACAGGCCTGCCTCAAGCAAGCAAAAATAGCACTCATGACACACGTCAACACCAGAAGGCCAATTTATTAATTTGTCTAGAGAAATCACTGTCAGAGAGACCAGAAATACTCCATGACAGCGGGCCTGCACGGCAGTCAGAGGGTGGCTTTGTGAGCCTGGACGAGGAAAAGGGGCGATGACATATCAAATGTGTGACAGCAGCAGGATGAGGCCGGATGTCATGGCCCTGGAGGGAGATGTCTGGGTTCTAATCCCAGCTCTGTGCCTGAATTCAAGTAAGCAAGTGAAGAACCTGTTTCTTCCTCTGGAAAATGGGGATAACGATAGAGTCACCTCCTAGTCATTGTGAGGAACAGATAAGCTCATGCATATCACCTCGTCTGCACAGTGCCTAGTGCCTACTAGGTGCTTTAAAATGGTCGCTGTCCTTATGATGTTTTTAGCTTCTTTTCTCTCGTAGTATGTATGTCCTCCGGCTCCACAATTACTTTGGGGGCCGTGGCTACATGTCTTCCAGTTCACCCCCCACTTCCCAGACCCTAAGAGTGCTTGGAATTTACCTTGGCACGATGCCAGGTGCCTATAGCAGCAGCCATCTACCTTTGGGTACTGCCATCCTACAGGGAACGTTAGCATGGCCACACCTGGGGGTTTGACCACAGCTCTGCACTTTAATTCTGACCAGAGTAAAAACATTTCCAGCTTGCTTAAAAAACCCAGACTTGCACACACAGACCGCTGCTCTCCTGCAAAAGAGTCTTGTGAGGATTCATCGTGCGTCCCAACTTTTCACGTCTGTGCTGGTTTTCATCTGAGAGGAGAGGCTTCTTCATTTGCTTGTGGGCAAGAGCAGAGTCCTTAATTTCCTTAATGCAGATCAGCTCATAGCACCAAGAGGCCCTCAGAAGCTCAACTGCCCCTTTGGAGAGTCCTGGTCCTTATATGCAAAGGGGTCACCCCCTGATCTTCCATAAAGGAAGAAAGTAGCGTTTGAGTCTCGGTGAGAGAATGAGTATGTAACCCAAATATTAGCTGTAATCCCACAGGTCAGCCCCATTTCCACTGATCCTAGCAAATAACAGAAACAGAAGCAGCCTGATAGAGCCAGTAGACTAGAAGGTGGAAGGCTTTCTGTTAGGGCCTCTGTGTTCCCAACAATTGCTGTGTGACCTTTGTCCCTGCCTTAGCATTGACAGTTGACATCAGCCACAGTCTCTGAGGCAGGCATTGTTACTCTCGCTTTATGGATGAGGAAACGGGGGCTCAGAGAGGTGACCCATCCTGCGCATGTTGGAGGTTCTCAGTCCAGATCGAACCCTGCGCTGAATTCTGTCTTGTCAGTGAAGTGAGTTCCTTTCTTTAACCTGGGTCTCATTTTCCCCAACTGTACAATAAAAGATACTAGGAGGGTCCATTCCAGAGCTTAGAAATTCTGTGGTTCTAAGGCTTCCCCTTGAGCTTTTTCTAGGCAAATCTTTTGACTCACTTAGAATGCAGTTTTGGAGACTCTAGGCCGGGGCGGTTGGAAGAACACAGCAGTTGGGGCTGGTTCCCCCTCACTGGTAACAGTCCTGTTCTCGAACCACTCTGGGTTGCAGAAGAGAACTTTCTGCCTTTGGGTCCCCATGCCAGCCTTCCTCCCACTGAGGGAGCCCCTGAGGCTCCGTCCCTGCCAGGCTGAGTTGGACTGCCCATCTGTCACTTCCAGCTCTGGCTGTGATGACAGCGTGAAGGCTCGTGAGCCACCATCTCATTAGCCCAGATGGCAGTGCCTGGAGATGGCATTGGGCATGTCCAATTGAAGAGTGGCTGAGATGTGGACCCTGAAGGTACCCAGCCACCTCGGATGGGCTGTGAGAGGGACTTCACCTCCTTGGGGCTTACCCCACATGCCTGGTCTGGGAGTGGCAGGGGTGTCAGTTTACGGAGGAACATTTCTTTAAGTTCGGCTGTGACAAAACACAAGATAATAAACTCTAGTGCTCAGGTGCCAAATGCTGACTCAGGAGTTTACCTGCTTCCCAGAGAAGCAGAGAATAGTGGGCTTATCTCTCCATCCTTGTTGTATATATTCTGTATTGTGGTTGGGCAGGCCGTATCGCCTAGGTGGTGTCTGATTGGATGCCTACTGTCTGTGGACCCATTTTTCATCCAACAAGCTATGTGCCTGTGGCTCCTCGTAGGGTATCTCTGATCCCAGCTGACTTGGGTGAGGCTGCCTCTGTAGTCCCTGTAGTCCTCTTCAGAATGAAAAAATATGTGCCTGGACAGAAGAAGTAATTATTCATCATCATTCATTACCAGCTGGTGGAGACGATTTGGGGTTTACAGCAAGTAAGCGGTTGCTAACATGTTTTGAGCAAATCACCGAACCCCGAGTCTGTTAAAATATGGTAAGGATGTAGGAAGGACAAAATGAGGCATGCACGTGTATTTCCTAGCATGGGGACCAGTGCTTAGGGCACTCAGTCTCAATCAAGGGTAGCTTTGGGAGCGATTGCTGTAGGTTGTATGATGGAATAACTTGTAACCGTGGTGAAAATGGTGATAATAATAGCAATTGGCATTTATTGTGTGTTGACAATGTTCCAGGCATTGTCAATTCAGGCAAAGCTACTTACTTTTCTTATTTCATTTTAGCTTCACAATCCTCTCTATAAGGTAGGTACTCTTACTATCCCCATTTTGCAGATGAAGAAACTGGGGCTGAGAGAGTCTAAGTAACTGGCCCCAGATCACAAGGTCAGGCGGGCGGGAAGTGCCCTCCTTCGGACCCTCCTCTGATGCTGTGGAATGAATTCACAATGGCGTCTTCACGGAAACCTGCTTGCTCACCAGCGAGGGGCCTGAACTTTTTGGAGTTCTCTCCCTGGGCCCCTTGCCTCGCTGGCGGATCCTGTTGTGGGGGAGAGCCTTGCTCCAAAGATGCTGCCTGTTTATCAGCGTGCTGTGCCTGCTCAGGGAGCAGCACCCACGCTGGCTAACAAATTGTTACTCTGCCAGACTCCAGTGTTGATATTCAGGGGATCCATTGTCCCAGGTGGTAGCTGTCCCTGTGGGGGCCAGGCAGCTGCAGAAAGCGGCCAAAAGAATGTGTTGCAGACAGCTTCTGCATCTCATTTATCCCAGACGACTTTGGTAGAAGATGAGGAATGAATGATGCGGCACTTGCCACCTGCAGTTTTCTGGGTGTTTCTTTATTAGCTGTCTGTGGGGGGTCTAGCACTTCAGGGCAGCAGTTACCAAAGAGAACAAGTGACTGATGATTCCCAGACGTCCCCATCTTGGTCCTAATGGCACCAGCTGGAGTTTTATGCGAGGTGCTGGTCTTATGAAATATCGTCCTCAAGGGGTCTTGGATGGTGGCATGCCCTCACCTTGCCCGTCTCACTGTGCGCCGGCCTCAGCCTTTCCCAGATCATCTCCCCTTCTTTGTCCCAGAGACCAGGCAACAGATAGAGTTGACCCTCCATTGAGGGCCTGGCCTCATGTGCCTTGAGGCTGAGTCAGAAGCCTGATTTGTTGAGGGAGGCGGCAGGTAGCAATAAAGACCGATGAAGCCGAACTGTGTGCTCCCGAGAAACCAGCCACTGGAAGGATTATA